CGTGCGTGTGTTGTGTGTGTATTTATGTGAAGTTTTAGCGATTGCAGAGATACGTTTATAACAAACTCCACTATTTTATTCTTTAAAAGGCCTCCACAAGAAGTTATTTAAATGCAGCTTAAATTTCACATAAATTTGCAATATACAAATATAAGATTAATTTCGGTAATTCTTCAGAATAGCTACCTCACTTCCGATTTCGATGAAATTAGATACTGTTTAATAATAAATACTACTGTCTATACACTCCACATGACAGATTTTCTCACCTGAATAGTTGTCGACTTTAACGCTAAATATTTTGCTTCGTAGGGCAGTCCCAGACTTTTTTCTGCCAGATTCTTTCATTTTACACAAAAACGTGTCGAATAAACCTAATTTCATCAAAATCGGAGATGAGATATATATTCTGAAGAATACCTTAATTTCATTTCTTTCACAAAGACACAAAGATTTCACCTTTATAGTTCGATTCTTCTACTTTTCATTTCTCGTTCGTTCTCAGAACGAAATTCTTCGAATCTTTATCTCTTGAACTCTCAAGTACCTGATAATCCTGAAATTTCTGAGGAAGATATCTTTCCCACCATCTCGTTTTCTTTCTTTTTTTCTTCTTCTTAATTCACAGTTCCTGCCTCCAATGGAATAAGTGGAGATAACGGTTAAGAGAGAAGAGAGAGAAAAGTGAAAATTTTAACCATTATTAATGGAGAACTTTTTCATTTTTCACTTTCCATCTTAGGGATAAAGTTTCATGATTGATACACTTGTCAAAATAATAGATCTGTTTTTTTATTGCACTTTATGAATTGGGGGCGGGGGGGGAGGGGTCGATTGTGGATTTTGAAAGATGAAAATTACCAAATTACAAAGGTTACTAGGTATTGACCAATTAAATTATAAATACTCTAATGAATTTGCTCACTTTTGAAATTTTCATCTCATTTGAAAATATACAATCGACCCTCTGGTGCACATAGTGCGATAAGGCTTATTCTTTTTGGCGGAATTTTTGCACCAGAGGGTTCGTCTTTCTTCCCTTTCTCTCCAAGAGAAAAGAAGAAGAAAAAAGATGAACTGGTGTAAAAGTTCAGCCAAAAAGAACAGGCCTAATAAAAAACAGACTCAAGATGCAATACTCGTGAAAATGGCGTGGCCCACCCGGACACCGGGCGCCTGCATTACGACGTACGAAACGTGCGTCAAGAGGAACAGACGGGACGTCCAAATCCGTGGTGTTTGGCTATATGTGTTTCTAGGCTCGGTCAAAGTCGGCCAAACTTTCAAAAATATCAAATAATAGTACTCGACCCGCGACGCGTCCGTCGCGGACGAATGGTTCTTCAGAATTCGCCATCTCGTTTTAAGTGCACAATTGACTGCGCAATAGTGCAATAGATGTAAGATGGTGCAGCTACGAGGACAGATTTTTTTTTAGTCATGAGACAGTCCGCTGCGCGGCAGTGGCAGCGACCAGTTTCACGCGGTTCACGCCAGTTCACGCTGTTTGCGAAAATTGGAGTACATCAGTACTTGGTTCGGCGTTGTCCGATCGACCGACATATCCAATAGGTTATAAATGCGACCATGAGCGGTGCCTTCGTGATCGTTTTCGCGATTATGGGACGATAATTTGCACCTTCCCATGTTCCCGAGAATCGCCGTGGTTGCGTCATCATGATCTCTGCAGCCCCATTTGTTTCGCTGTTTCTCTTCCTGCTGAACGCACGGGCGATTCCCGTGCCAGATGTTCCAAAACTACTCATCGTTTCTTACGATGCGTTCAGGTACGAGAATATTTGTGGTAACATAAAGACGAAATGCATAAGATTCACAAAAATTATTGTTACGTGGAAAAAAAGAGCTTTTACTGAAGTATATAAAAATTAAGCCAAACACAGATCTGATAATAATTATGTCGAATTGTCAAAATAATTATACGTAAAATATTCATGCATGATAATGTTGCATTTTTGATTAGCTTGAGTGTCCAATATAAATATTTAAGTAGCTACATTATTTAACTAGCTTAATTATTTTTATCTATGTATACAGAAACTTTGTTTCATGCGTTATCTCTGTGTCCACATTCATTCATAGAATATTTTAAGAATGTATAATATGGACACAGAGATAAGCCACGAAACATACATAGCTTCTATATAGAAAATGGAAATCTCAAAAGTATTATAAATTTGTATCTAGTTACATTTGTCAGCAAAACTTCTTTTTGTGTAAGATTTTACAGGGCAACCGAAAGTGTTATATTTGTTCTATATCACACATATCAGTTATCATATTTATTAATACACTATATATTGATTCATAATTTTCTATGTTTTGTATTGGATAGCATATAATTGAACACATGGTAGTCTGCTCTATCAGCGACATAAATATGTAAAAAATTTGAAAAAATAAACAAAATAAAGATATACCTTCATTTCATTTTGTTATTTTATTTTGTATAGATATGATTACTTCGAGAGAAAGCTAACACCGTTCATGAGCCAGTTAAAGGCGCAGGGTACTTCCACTGACTATATGATAAACATTTTTGTCACTAAGACCTTCCCAAATCATCACACGATGGCAACAGGATTTTATGCGGAAACACATGGGGTTGTAGATAATGAATTTTTTGATTTTAGTAAAAATAACACTACCAAGTATTCATACGAGTTATATCATTACAACAACAATATTTTACCTATTTGGGTATGTAGCAGGATGATAATTATATTTTGGATATATTCCAGGTATGTTTTATATTTTATAAACGTAATTATTTCAGACGGTTAATGAAAAAAATGGCAGACGTAGTGGCACAATGATGTGGCCAGGTTCTGTATTTGCATATCAAGGAACGTCTCCTACTTTCGCACAAGTGTGTATTGCATTAACATATGGCATAACATATTTAGATTCTAAGAAGATGTATCGATTATGTTAACAATTTTTTTAGGCTTTTAATGATACGATTCCATGGGAGAAGCGGATTGATGAATTATTATCGTGGTTTGTACATCCTATAAATCCAATAAACTTAGGGATATTGTATATTGAGGACCCAGATTACCATGGTCATGCCATAGGAATAAACAGTCCTGAATTTAATGAAATTCTCAAAAAATTGGATAATATTACCAAATATATGCACAATAAAATTGATCATTACGGCTTGACAGATGCTCTTAACGTGATTCACTTAAGCGATCATGGTATGGCATCAGTTACGATGGAAAGAATAATAAATTTGACAAATTACATCAACGTTACTGATTATACATTTGTGGGAACTTCTCCGGGATTACATATTTTTCCACATCCTGGTAAGATTGCTTTGCGGTATAATTTGCATAAAATTATTTCTATTTTGCTACATCTTTTTCTTTAAATACTTTTAGGAAAAGAAGAGATTATTTATCAGAATTTGAAGTTTGCCGCAGACCAAACAAAAACGTTCAAAGTTTATAGAAGAGAAGATATCCCGAAGAAGTATCATTATGGCAATAATACTCGTGTGGGACCCATTTTTGTCATAGCTGAAGTTGGATACGCATTTCAAAATCTTTATGATGCTATAGAATTTTATAAACAGAAATTTAATATTACGGGTAATTTTATATTGTAATTTTATATTCCATATATTTATTATTATAGAGGTGTACATGTAATTTTTAACATTGAGCCATTATTTCTATTTAGTGGATAATCGGACAGAATTTGGACTGCATGGTTATAATAATGAAGCTAAAGAGATGCATCCATTCTTCTTTGCGAATGGACCTGCTTTTATGCCAAGTTGTAAATTAGAGCCTTTTAACAATACGGATCTATTTCCCTTGTTTTGTGAAATACTCAATTTGAAATGTCCCATGGTTAATGGTACTTTATCTCACATAACAAAGTGCCTTAGGACACAATTGAAAGATGTATCAATATCTACATATAAAATGTTCAGTAAGTATCTCCTTTAATAATTACTAAATTATTCTTTTAACAAAAATCTAAATTTTTAAGATCTTAATAATATTTTTATTTAGTTGCAGTTATTATAACTACTACGTTAATAGGAATTTCAGTAGTGGCGACAATAATTTATAGGAAAAAACGAAGATTGGTATATAATTATAGGTAAATAATAAATAAATATATAATAAATATTAATAGGTCAATTTTCTAAATTTTCAAACAGTTTTAAGAGTTCGTCTCTTTTTCTTTTATAATAAATTTTGTTACTTTTATTTTGTTTCATCTAAATGATGAAACTCTCTTACAGTATTAATAAGATTTAGTAATATACAAAATTAATTTTTCAGGGATTCATATTATACGCTGGGCGAATAAGACATTTGATTATATTACAATTCATTAATAAACATGTCATTATTTACACTTTTGTTGGGTTTTAGTTAGTGAATTAATCTATATAACAGGGATATTATACAAAAGAGATATAAATTCTTATGTTTTCGACAATGAAATACAAATGTCTATCTCCTTGGATCTCTTCCATGTTATAAGAAAACATTGTTCATTAGATATAATTTAGCTGAGATTATTTAGTATTGAATTGAGATTCTTAAAGTGCTAAGAATTTATTAATTTGTCATAAAATAACGATATAATATTAGCAAATTTGAAATAGTATTTCTCATTCGTATTTATAATTATTGGAATTAAATAAACTACTGTGTAATACTTGTGATTTTAATTGTCATTATAATTGTACATATTTGCGAGTAAATTATATAATTATTAACTTCATTCAACTTTTATTTTAGAAGAGTACTGGATGAATCTGAAAATCAACAGTTTTGGGATGAAAGTTTAATTCCACATTTATGAAAATCCACCTATTGCGTAAACGCATAATTTTAAAGTTCGTAGTTTATACTTCGAGTTATCTTCATCCTCTAGTGTACAATTTGTCCGATATTTTATAAATATTGCATTACGAGAAATAGAAAACCTTCGCGTTGACTTGCGTCAAGGCTTAAGCATATTTAAAATCTCCATGTATTATCCAATCTAATGATTCGTGTTGTCGAACAAATTTATCGCAGAGTTGATCGCGAGTAGGACAAATCGCGTCATGAAGACAACAATTTGCATTAAGTTATTCCACGTGAAAGCTCTTATTGTAAAATCTCTTGACAACCAGATGTCATTACACATTTGATGGCAATGGCTTTGTAAAGATATAAATAGAGAATGTTAATATATTCAGTTTGTAGAATTGCATGCAGATAATCTCGAGTTCGCAACAGCCAATGATATCCTGTAGTATTATTCTCCATTATTGTTAGATCAGTTCAAGTACATCATAACAAAAAATCCGCGCCAAATGAATACATCAATTAAGTTATATACTGTTGCTACTACGTTAATAAAAATTCTCAGAATTGCATTTGGGGGTAAAAAAAAACTGCGCACTTACTGTGCAAAACTTATGCACATGTGAAAATAATGTTTCCTGACTGCAAAATGTTTCCTGATGAACAAGATAAATTACGTATGCGGAACAACATACTTATATCGATTAGAATCGATTATGTATAAAATATGTAAATAATACCTGCAGGATTCCATTTAATTCATTTATTTTATGCAACTGTGTACAATCGTTATTAATACACGGCTGATGGAATTAATCGACGAAGAAGGACATTATACATATTTTGCATTCAAATTTTATTTTCCGTCAATGGCAAATAACTTTAACATGTTGCCGAAAAATTTTTATGTAATTTATACTGCTACAATGAAATTTTTATTATTACATAAATATTTAAAATGTTTAAAGATAAAATAATATAATTAAAGACTTTGTTCTCATGGATAGTACTTTACATTACATCTTACAATTTGTACTTTTTATTTTACATTGTTAGTGCTAGTTGTTTGTGTTATTCAAACGATTATATTAAATGGTATTTCTTTTTACGAACGGTTTTTTTTTATTTCAATAGTGCCGTTACCATAGATTACCTAAGTAATTGAATCAGACGTTAGATGACAATCACGGCGATTTACGTGTTAATAAATTATTGTTATAAACACGATGTTGCTTTAATTGGTAATATTATATATTTTTATATTTTTAGATTACATTCATAATTGTTGCATATGCCATACATATGTATGTTTCGTGTTTTTTTTGAGGATGTAAAATTAATCTGTTCTTAGTGCTTCTGAAGATTGATGCTTACAATATCTCGATCGCAAAGAATTTTTTATCATAATTTTTTTTATAAGTTTTTTTATGATTTTTTTATCAGCGCTTTTTGTTGTAATGTTATAATTGAACATGAATAGCTCACATAACAGCGCGAAATAAAAATTCAGAAGAAATTCAATCGTATTATGATGAT